CTGCATTTCAGATGTTGTACAGAGACCAGCCCTGTGGTTAACATGCATTTGGGAGTAAATGAGTTGGAAAACTAATAGCTGAGCTGAGGGATACATGATTATATGACCAGAACTGACAGGAGTGGAGCCCGGGTGTGTGTCCACTCTCACTGCACTGTGTTGCTTTTGCCCCCGGAAGCCCAGGGAAGTTTGCAGGGAGAGCCCTGGGCCCTGCAGCTCTTGGGGCCTCCCTCTCTGCTCTTCCACCTTCCTGGTGTCCAGCTCACAGCTTCCGTGTAACATCTCCGAGCCTCAGCTGTGCTCCTATCTGCTTCAAACTTAATGCTTATGTCATGCAGAAGAGATGGTGAAACGCGTCCGAAGTCCCTCTGTGGTTTTGATTTGGTACCTTCTCCGGCCATAGAGTATTTGTAGTTAAGTCCTATAAGCAGGGAGTTCCAAGGGAGAGGACAGATTTTACATCCCCCGAGTGATTGTGATCGTAAAGCTTGTAGGTACCAGAAGGTTCTCCCAGTACGCACACAGTGGCCGGATTGTTGAAAGGCCCATTCACCTGTCTCTCCTGACTTTAAAAAAGAGGTACTTCTGGTGTGTGTTTGCTTGTTGCCCACAGCGTAGGGGAGTTTGAGTAGTGCCTCTCCCAGAGCCTGGCTGCTGGTTTCCCAGTCTGACTAAGGGGCCACAGGTTGGCACTGAATCTGCAGTGGCCCTTTCATACCCCGCTCCTAAATATTTAAAGACTCAAAATAAGTTCAAGTGCTCAGTGTCTTCAACCCCAGAACATTGTAGGCTAGTTTTTCCTCTTGTTAATTCAGTTTACTTCATTTTTGTACATATGGTTCAGATATCAAGAATGTGGTCAGTGGCTGGACGTGGTGGTGCACACCTGTAATCCCAGCACTCCAGAGGCTGAGGCAGGAGGATTGCCGAGATTTCAAGGCCATCTTGGACTACAGAGTGAGACCCTGTCTCAAAAAAAAGAAAAGGGAGGGAGGGAGGGAGGGAGGGAGGGGGAGAGAGAGAGAGAGAGAGAGAGAGAGAGAGAGAGAGAGAGAGAGAGAGAGAAAGCAAGCAAAACAGATGTCAGCTAGAGGTGTCACACAGCAGTAAAGCACCCTGGACCAAATCCCCACCCCAAAGCAGCTCAGCTCAGAGACTGCGGCCTCTTCTTCCAGTACCATGCTGCTCCGTCACACCGTGCCATCATGTACGAGCCAAGGGTGGTGGCACCATTTCTATTTGCAGATAAAGACACTGCCCCTGCAAGGGTTGCATCACCACGCGGTGGTGCCCTCAAACAGCCGCGAGATGGTCTCGGTTCTTAGAAAGTGAATGAGCAGGTTAGGAGAGGTTGTGCACACATCCCTCCTAGTTAAAACGGGCAGCTGTAGAGCCCGCAGAGGCAAGGCTGGCTCAGAAGATGGAGCGGGGTGCTCTGCATGGGGAGCTGGGTGGCCACTGGTGAGCGGGCTGGTGAGCAGGCTAGCCGCAGGGAGGCGCTCCCAGCGCCGGTGCAGAGCGCGGAGGTGCGGCCTCGCTTCTACAGCGAGGCACAGGCGCACTGCCAAGCCGGGGATGCAGGTGGCGAAGGTGGGAGGAGCGCGGGGCAGGATGGAGCCGAGGGCCGGTTGGCGGTTGGCGGCCGTGACAGGCAGCTTGGTCGGAGAGCGATTGGAGCTGCAGGCTAAGCTGTGTGCGGGAAGGCGGAGTCTTAAAGGGGACGGGCTTTGGAAAGGGATGCTTTGTGCAGAAATAAGTGCAAGTGAATTTGTAATCTGAGGATGAGTTCTCTGAAACTTCAGAACCTTTTTTTTTTCAAATTCTTTTTTTTTTTTTACTTGCAGAAAAAAACAAAATGCTCTCTACATTGAATGACATAAGAATTGGTTTTTGGGTTAGACGTCTAGTCTACACAATTAATTTAGCATTTTATTTCCGATGGGGGCACTATAAGAAGTGATAATTGTCCTTTGACTACTCAGAATAACCCAATTTTATCTAACTAGTCGTACGCTTGTTCATAGAAATCCTTCTTGAGCCCGTCTTTCTTGATTTTACTACCCACGGGGTTAATAGCTCAAGTGTGTGTCTCACTGTGCGCTACTATTAGAGATATGACACACCAAAGAGTTAACACAGGCTCGCAGATGAGGCCAGTGTGACCTCACCATTCAAGAGGCTGAGGCAGGAGGATCACAAGTTCAAGGCCAGCCTGGTCTGCATCATCAGTCCTGGTCTCCGAAAGCAAAGAACCACCCCAACAACAAAAAATGTGACCACCTGTGTCTTTTTTGGGGGGGAGTGAGTCAGAGTGTCACTATATATCAGGCCGGGGATATAGCTCAGTGGCATAAGCGCCTGCTTGGCAAGCACAAGATCCTGAGTTTGAGTTCGATTCCTGGTACAAAAAAAAAAAGCTATATAGTGCAGGCAGGCCTTGAACTCACTGTGTATGTAGTCTAGCTGGCCTTGAACTCGAAATTCTTGCGCCTGCCTCCCGAGGGCTGGGAGTAGCAGGCATACATCACCACACATGGTTACCACCTGTACCTTAATCCCGTCTTTGCCGCATACTGCTGTGTGACATTGGGGTTTAGTCCCTTCTTTCCCAGTTTCCTCATCTATAAAATTAAGATGTGATAAACACTATTATATAGTAAGATTATTTAAAAATTAGGAGATAATACCTAGGTCACAGGGACCAGTCAAGTCTCAGCTATTTTTAATAATAAAAATAGTAGAATTTACTTTTTAAAAAACATAACTCTGCCGGGCATGGTGGTGCACACTTATAAGCCCAGCATTTGGGAAGCTGAGGCAAGAGGATCAGCACAAGTTCGAGGCCACTGTGGGCTACATAGTGAGTTTAAGGCCAGCCTGAACTACTGCATAGTGAGACCCTGTCTCAAAACCATAACTGAGCCAAGCGTGGTGGCACATCTCTCTAATCCCAGTACATACTGAGAGGCTGAGGAGGAGGATCACCACAAGTTGGAGGCCAGCCTGAACTACATAGGGAGACCCTGTCTGCAAAACAAAAAGGGAAACAAACAAACATAACTCTGGCAACAGTGCAGAGGGCTGAGGAGGCACGGTGTGAGGGGAGGGGACAGAGGCCTCTGCAGTCCACCGGACGAGAGGCTGTGATGGTTTCAGCGAGTCAGGGGAGGCCAGCTCCACCTGGGCAGACTTGAGTGATGTTTAGGTGGCAGAATGGACCGCACCCTCATGATGGGTTCACTGGGGGCTGTGGCGGGAGAGCAGAGGTTCTCTTGGTGCTCGGGCCAAAGCTGGATGAGCGGAGACCCAGCTGGGTAGCGGGTGGGGCTGGGAGCGCAGTGGGATGCTCGAGATTTCAGTGTGCGGTGTGAGGGTATGAGGCACAGGTGGTATTTCCACATTCTTAAGGTGCTGCCAAATGACCCTAATGCACTCCCCAACTTAAAAACTGTTGATATAAAGAAAAAAAAACAAGGAAGAACTATTGACATAGATAAATAGTTGAATGTTTGATCAGTGAGGCAGAGTTCAAATTTAGGTGTGATATTGGTGGTGGTGGTATATGCCTGCAATGCCAGCTACTCAGGAGGCTGAGGCAGGAGGATTAAAATTTTGAAGTCTGAGCTGGGCATGGTAGTGCATGCCTATAATCCCAGCACTCGGGAGGCTGAGGCAGGAAGATCTTTGCAAGTTCCAGACCAGCCTACAATACAAAGTGAGCTCAAGGCCAGCCTGAGTTGCATAGTGAGACCCTGATTCAACAAGACACTAAATAAATAAATAAATAAATAAATAAAATTTTGAGTTCACCCTGGGCAATTACTAAGACTCTGTCTCAAAAAAAAAAAAAAAAAAAAAGCAGTGGAGTGAGGGGAATGTAGCTCAGTCTTCCTGTGTTCAGTCCTTAGTACAAAAAAAAGCCAGGGGTGCTGGCCCACAACTATGACTCTCACACTGTGAGTCAGGAGGGTTGCCAGAAGCTCAGGCCAGCCAGGGCCATATACAGTCAGTCCAAGGCCAACCTGAATGACAAAGTAAGTCCCTGTCTCAAAAAAACAAGTCAATAGGGGCTGGGGATTTAGCTCAGTGGCACAGTACCTGCCTGGCAAGCACAAGGTCGTGAGTTCGATTCCCGGTACCGGAAACCACCCCCCCAAAAAGTCAGTCAATAAATAAGATTATGGGATGATTCCAGTGGGGAAGGGGGTGTTGACTATATGGGGAAGAACATAATGTACAAAGCCCAGATGGAAAAAATTGGTTGTAGTTATGAAGGTGGGCAAGTTTAGTGTAATGAGAACAAGGAAAGAGCTATAAGGAAAATCGGGTACTGATGCATTGTGTGATAAGGAGGGCAGGTTGGTGGATCTAGGTACTGCATTGGCCATCCTTTGTTAAGTGACTGGGGTTGACCGCATTCCTATCTAGTCACTGTTGGGCCAGCCCAGCAGTAAGCCGGACCCTGACACCTGGGTTGTAAACTATTTAAAAATTTTATTTATTATAATTTTTATGCCTACTTAACATCATTTACTTGGTGGCACATGCCTGTAATCCTAGCACTTGGGAGGCTGAGGCAGGAGGATCATTGTGAGTTTGAGACCAGCCTGAGCTACAAAGTGAGCTCAAGGCCAGCCTCAACTGCATAGTGAGACCCTGTCTCAAAAAGACAAAAAAGAAAAACAAAACCATTTACCTTGTAGATTTTCTCACCATGGTGTCACACACCTGTAATCCCAGCAGGCAGAGGCTGAGGCAGGAGGATTAAGAGTTCAAAGCCAGCCTGTATTACATATTGAGATCCTGCCTTAAAAAAGTTTTTCTCACTGAAAGGGAAATTGGTGTAATACTCCACAGTTGTAATCTAAATTGTTAATAGTTTTTCAATCTTGATACAATATTGGAAGCTGACACTTAAACAATAGAAATTTCTACATTTATCTAACAGTATTATAGTCAGGATACAGTTTGGCTACAGTTCATTTTTTGTTTGTCTTTAGTACCAGGACCCTCCGGTGACAGTGGCATCAGTATTACGATGATTTTGATGGCCTGGATGGTTATTGCAGTGATCTTGTTCCTACTGAGACCTCCCAGTCTAAGAGGCTCCAACCTGCCAGGAAAGCCAAGCAGCCCTCATAATGTAAGTGCTGTGGGTTGTGTCTGTGGCCTGGGGAGAGGGGAAAGCTTATTTTGACTGAAATACCAGGTCTAAATTAGCAAGAGATGCCAGATGCTGTGACACAGGCCAGTAATCTCTGCACTCGAGAGGCTGAGACAGGAGGATTGTTGCAAGTTCGAGGCCAGCCTGGGCTACAAAGTGAGCTCAAGGCCAGCCTGAACTGCATAGTGAGACCCTGTCTCAAAAAGACCAAAAAAAAAAAAAATTAGCAAGAGGAAGACTGAATTCATGCATTGCGTTCTTGCTATGTAGTCCTGGTAAATCTGCAGGTAACCGTAGGAAACGGTGCGGACGATGGCCCAGTAATTTAAAAGTGAAATCCAGTCTTTACTCATAAGACACAGGAATGAAGATCTGGCCCATGACACAGCTGGAGCCCCGACCTGCACCGGCCCCATCCCGCTCCCAGCAGGGCTCTTCCCCTCTCGCTTCCGCTGCACCCCTCAAGCACCCTTAGGCGCTTCGGTTCCGTGTCAGCCTTTCCGTCTGAGCTTTTAAACTCAGTACACATAAAGACCGAGCCTAGCTGGCCAAATTCTGTTTTCCTGTCGTATTTCTCACAGATTGATTTTCCATTTTTTTTTTTTTTTTTTTAATTTAAAAAATGTATATGTCTGCAGCACATAATGATTACATTCCCAGGCCGGGGATATAGCTCAGCGGCACAAATGCCTGACTGGCAAGTGCAGGGTCCTGAGTTCGATTACCAGTACAAAAGATTACATTCCCCGTGGGGAGGTAGAACACGTGCGTGACACGTCTTCATGCTTTTTACATCCGCGCCCCGCTCCCCACTTCATCTCTTGGGCCCATTTCCCTTTGCAAGAGATCTGTATTCCTGTTTCCTGTGTGATATTTGAGCTCGCTGTGCTAATTTATTTCACTTAACATTACGGTCTTAAGGTGCCCCCGCGTTCCTGCAGATGACTCATGTACTGTATATCCTCTGTGACAGAGTAGTATGTTCTCCACTGTGTGTAAATACCATTTTTTCTTCTTCCTTTCATCTGTTGATGGACATATAGGCTGCTTCCAAGATTTAGCTATTATGAATTGGCCTGCTATAATCATGGGTATGCATGCATCGCTGTAATATGATGTCTTTAGCTCTTTTGGGAAGATAGCTAGAAGGAGAATAGCTGAGCCCAGTGGAATTTCTAGTTTCAGTTTTTTGAGGAATTTCCACACTGATTTTCATAGTGATTGTACTAGTTTACGTCCTACCAACAATGTGGAAGGGTTCCTTTTTCCCCACCCCCTCTGAGGAATTAGTCCTCTGAGGAATAACTGCAAAATTTTTTTCCTGTTCTCTAGGTTGTCTCTTCACTTTTGGTTGTTTCCTTTGCTGTACAGAAGCTTTTTAATTTGATATACAGACGTTCCTCATTTAATGACCGAGTTCCATTTCTGCCCCTAGGTCGCTGAATGAATTGGATGCTAGATGAGGAATTGTATATAGTATGTACAATATTCAGAACAAAAAAAAATGGTCACAGAAGACTCCAGCTTGATGACTCTGCCTTTATTTGCCGTAACTTACATGCAGTACTGTGATGTACACGAATACAAAACTACAGTACTGTACTGTACAGTACAATCAGCAGCAATTACAGTATTGTATAAACAAGGCATACTGGCCAGGTGTGGTGGCGCACACCTATAATCCCAGCACTTGGGAGGCCAAGGCAAGAAGATTACTGCCAGTTAGAGGCCAGTTTGGGTTACCTAGTGAGTTCAAGGCCAGCCTGAAGTACATAGCAAGACCCTGTCTCAAAGGCAAAAAAAAAAACTGTTTAGATAATGTTGCATGGGGGCTTCAGTTGTGAAAGAAGGCATTATTAGCACATAGAAAAAGCTTGAAGTTACTCTTGGTTTTCCTTGAAAGAGTGCGTATTGATAAAGTGTTTCTTCCTTACCCTTTTTTCTTACACTGTATGCAGCTTTATTACTTTCCTGTCAAAGAGCAACTTCAATGTTTGGAGGTTAAGAATTCCAACTTAATAACCACACATAGGAGTAATTAAAAGTGACGCACCCGCAGACTAAAGTTCATTATAGGTAGACAGAGGTTCTAGAATAGTAGTCCCTTTGCCCTAGGACTAAGCAAGAAAAAACACTGAGTCTAATTCCAGGTAGAACTGCTGATCACCCTTGACTGAGCCCTAGCAGAACATGTCAGTGTAAGTAAATTAAATCTTCTTGAAGATCCTGAAGACCTAATCTTTTCAGTTCACATGCTTCCTATTGCAAGCAACAAAAACCAACTTAAAGTGGTTTATATAAGTGGATTTATTAGTTTACACTTTTTTTTTTTTTCCCTTTTTGAGACAGGGTCTCCCTATGCAGTTCAGGCTGGCCTTGAGCTCACTTTGTAGCCCAGGCTGGTCTCGAACTCGCAATGATCCTCCTGCCTCAGCCTCCCGAGTGCTGGGATTACCGGCGTGTGCCAGCACGCCCGGCCAGTTTACACATTTTTTTAAAACCTCAAAGGTAAGTTTAGTGCTTAGAAATTTTGTTTTGTTTTGGGTTTTTTGTTTGTTTGTTTGAGACAGGGTCTTTCTACATTATCCAAACTGGCCTGGAACTCATTTCAATCCTTCTGCCTCAGCCTCCCATGTGACGGGATCACGGGCTTCAGTTTAGAAAGTTTAACAATGTCATTAGAGACCAGGTGTCCCGGTCTCGTTACCAGGCTTGTGTCCCTCATTGCTATAGAATGCCTTCCAGAGGCAGCGGCAGCCGCGTGCGTCTTCTGTGGGAAGCAGAAGGCCCTGGCTTCACCGTGAGTGCTCAGCCTTACACGGCAAGAGACCAAAAGAGCAGGAACAAACAGCTTCCCTGAGCCAGTGATGGCCGGTCTCTAACCAGGAGCCAGAGATGTCAGCCACAACTGGGTCTCACCTTCAGTTTAAGTACATTTTAGGTTTCCATAGTAACCATTACCTCATTTTGGGGAATCTTACAAGAATGTCACACAATTATCAAAAAGTTTACCTTTCCCAGAAGGTGTCAGACAGCTGGATTCCAGATGACCACTGCAGTTTGACTTTCACCTACTTCCCAGTTTGTCTTGTGTATTCTCTTCGCATTTTGTGACTCTGATCTCCTTTAAGTGGGTTGATAACTAACCAAGGCGACTGGGGTGAAGAATGGGGTCAACTACAGCTTAAGTGAACTTAAGTGATTTCTCTTAATGTGGAGTTTTGTTTGTTTGTTTGTTTGTTTTTGTCTTTTTGAGACAGGGTCTCACTATGCCGTTCAGGCTAGCCTTGAGCTCACTTTGTAGCCCCAGCTGGTCTTGAACTCACAATGCTCCTCCTGCCACAACCTCCCGAGACCTGGGATTACAGGAGAGCTGGGATTATAGGCATGCGCCACCACTCCTGGCTTAATATAGAGTTAAAAAAAGAAAATGGAGTCTCTCTTGCCCCATCAAGCCAATCACTTTAGCCAGGGCAAAGATCACGCCTAAGGTGGAAGAAAATCTGTTACTCAACGTCCCTTTCTGCATGCCCCAGGGAAGAGTGAGACAAATTGCAGAATCAGTGTTAACCCAGTGCTCCAATGTGTGAAAAGTCCAAATAAACACATATTTTGAGTTGGAGGATTGGACATTGCTACTCAGTTCTTATTACATGTGTTAGGTTGGTTGCACTGGGACTGACGAAGTCACTTAAAGAATTTTTCTCCTTTTCTTATTTTTATTTTTATTAGCACATGCTTGCAGCAAATACTGATCACCTTCATGCTTATTTCTTTTTAATGCCAGGGACAGGATCCACCAGCTCCTCCTGTGGACTAACTCTGTGATGCGGGAAGCGAAAATAACTAACACCTTGCACGACCAAATGAACGGAGGTGACCGGAGTGATGATCTTAACCCACTAGAAGAGTTTTTCTTTGGCATCTGCAGCATGGGATGGTATCGTTTCCATGAGCTTCTAGAAACTTCACTTGCAAACTTATTTTTGCTTCCTGTGCTATCATCATTCCTATTTACAGTATGTTTGAGTAAATGATTATATTAAAAAAAGTTACATGGGGCTTTTTTGGTTGTCGTCAACTTAAACATTCCACTCATTCTGTTTGTAACTATGATCGTTAATTTTGTGGTGATTTCTGGCCTGATTGAAGGAAATTTGAGATTTCTGCATTTTAATATTTTAAATAGTTTTGATAGATTTTTTAAATCGTTTTTTTTCATAAGGTATTTATAAAGTTATCTGGGGTTATCTGGGACTGTATGAAAGAAAATGAGAACCACAGGTGTATTTACATTTATCTTCTAGTTTATTTGTGGCCGGCAGTTTTCTCTAGTTCTGGACTGTGGCAGGTCTTAGCATATTTTACAAATTATAGATGAAAGCTATATCACTTGTTACCGTTGGTTTATATAGCTGCAGTAAGAGAGCCGTGAAATGGTTGTTTACTGGTTTTTTTTATTCCCTTTAAAATGTCTAATGTTAAGAATACTTTAAATAAACATGGTTGATCCGTACGGTAGATGATTAACAGTCCATTATGTAACATTTGCAAGCCACTGTACACTCGACTTACAAGGTTCATGAGAAGAGGGGGAAAGTTCACGATTTCTGCCTTTGCCACGTAGAATCTATTCAGTAATAACTTAAGCTATAATTTATTTTTAAAATGAGTGCCTCTCAGGAAGCTTCTTTTCTAACATTTCCCTGTTAAAGTTAAACTATCTTATGGGGGTCTATTAGGTTACTGACATTTGAATGACTATTATTCACTTTTATTTGAAGAAGAAATTTAAGTCTTTTGTTCTCCTTATGACTTTAAAATTTTTTAAATGAAACCTTGGTTTATTCCAAGGGAAAATGAGGAAAATAAGAAACAATCAAGAATCTTTTTCTTATCCCTTAACCTCATTCCTGTTTGTAAAAGGGTGGAGTGGGGTGGAAGGAATATTAATAGTAATATAAGTGCGATTTTGAGGTGTATAAAAAAGGAAAAGCGTTCATTGTTAGGCTCAAAAAAAAAGGTGATTTTTTAAAAAGGTGAATTTTAACAAAAGGTGAATACAAATGGCATTTTTAAATGTCTGCATGACCTGTGTGGTTTTGGAATTTTTCCCTAGCAAATGACTACAGTTGATTTGTGGAGACTAGAAGATATTTTCCTATCAATGTAAGGATTTCTCCCATAGGTCACTCTAGCCTTTCTCTGTACAGTGTAGATCTGAGAAATTATTTCTGTGAATTCAATAAACTTCTCTATATCACTATACTGGTTAGTCTCTGAGACAGTTGTGTGACACTTTTATTTTTCCCTTTTTTTATGACAACATTGTAGGCCAGAAGCATGGTAAGGGCATTGTTTCATTACATAATCCACTACTGACTGCTTGCATTCTTTTGTGTGCATTTTATCTTGGCCTTGTGTTCAACTTCCTGAAATGATATAACCAAATCTGTATTACTCGTGCTAATAAAAGGGTAGCATTGCACAGGTGATTTAATTCTTAGCGACGTGAACCCCACAGGGTAGATTTCCCCTCTTGCTGTGACCTACTTAGGCAGCCTTCCCAGCTCTCTAGCTGGCGTTCAGCAGAAGGGGCTGGAATGGCGTACCATGCAGCTCAGTCCTCTAGCAGTCCTTTCCTGCCTTTACACATTGGGTTTTGACCTGTTGTCTACATTTCCAAACAGTCTCTTCTCTAACCTGCTAGAAAGCCAATCCCTGGGAGAGATACTGCTGTACTCCGACTTACAAAATCTGTGGCTAACAGATCACTGGGAATTGGCTTTGTCTGAAGAAGTGGCTAAAAAAAAAAAATTTTTTTTAAAAAGAAATGGCTAAAATATCATTACAGAATGTTTAAGAGTAGAGACCTGATGGGCTGGGGATACAGCTCAGCGGCACGAGTGCCTGCCTGGCAAGCACAAGGTCCTGAGTTTGATTCCCAGTACCAAAAAAAAATATATAGTAAGAGTAGAGACCTGGAAATTTGGATTCTTGCTCCAGTTCTTTATTTCTGTCAGAAACTTCATTCACATTATATCTAAATTTACTAGCTTCAAAAAAATCCCTGCAAAATATAGCCTCTCTGAACCCTGAAGTCGAGACACCTGGAAAATAACAACTTAGGAAAGAAAAGAAGTAGAGCTCCAGGAAAACTAGAAACTACAGAGAAACTGAAGCCAGCACAGAAAAACAGAAGCCGTCTGGGACGTTAGCGCCGGCTCCAGAGGGGAGGTCTTGTCCCCGCAAACCCCAGGTCAGCCCGGAGGGGTCGTGGGCTGCCCCCAGAAACGCGCCCAGACCCTAAGACGCGGCTGGGGCTGGAGAAGAAGGTCTCTGCCCGACCGCGTACTTGGGACTGACAGAATCAAGAGCCGTTTGGGGCAGGGGTCCGTTGCGTAGGACAAAGCTACTCCAGGAGTCGGAAGTCACTGAATAACTACTTCAGAGCTCACTCCGTAAAGGCAGCCACAAGGCAGGCATGGAGAAGGGACGGTCAGTTGCAGATGCCCTGAGAAGTTCAAGCAGCGTGTGCTCAGGTTGTGAGGACGTCGTGGTCGCACCCTCCGTGCAGAGAAGCCGGCCCGGTGGAGCGGTTCTGAGGGGCTGGGTCAGAAAACGCTGGCATCAAGTCCAGGGCAGTGCCTGGCTGCCTGCTTCCAGCGCAGCTCAGGTCTCTGCTTTGCGCAGGGATTTGCCTTGGCTTGGACAGGTGACACATCTGGGACTGTAGGGACAGAGGGACCTCAGCAAGGGAGGCGCCTCACGAGCCCCTTGCCACACTGCAAGCCGGAGAAAGCAGGGCTTTGGGGTCACCGAAGGGCACAGCCACAGGGAGCCACGGAGTAGATGCAGGCCTGAGGGGCAGCACACCATGGGGCTGACCCTGCCGGGGGGAGAGGAGCAGCCGGACTCAGCATTCACAGCAAGAAGTGGGTGTGGAGGCAGATAAGCCCTGGCTGACTCGTGCTGCCTGCTCCGGATCAGGCGGCTTTCAGTGCCACAGGCCCTGGAGAGAAGCACTCACCCGGGACACAGAGGAGTTTTAACTTTTATTCTTTAATTGGAGTTTTTGTCCCACTTGGTTATTTTTTCTTTTTCAAATTTTAGTTTATTTCTTTTACCCTTATTCACTCCATTTTTATTATTATTACTCATGAGCCTTATTAATTTTTAGCTATTGAGTTGACTGTGCTGCTGTTGCTGAGTTCTATTGTTAATGGTGGCATGGTTGTTCCTTTTAATTGGCTTTCACTGTATGCCAGTACATGTCCAGTTTATCTTTGTATCATCAACATCACTGCTGCTCACTTTCTCCTCTCTTGAGTGGTGCTGAAGGTTCGACACTAAGACCTTCCAATATGCTGAATAGATTGAAGAGGGGTGTAAACCCCACAACGTAGTCCTAAGGACACATCACAGGGAGACGGAACCGAAGAGCTCCACATAGTGACAGAGTTTTTCCACCGCAGCTGAGCAAAACCAATAGAAAGGTGAGAAAGCAAGGCAACAAGGTGCCTCCAAAACTCCAAGTTCCCCCGAATCTGATCTCACACTGAAGTGGAGGAAACTATAGACAAAGAAATCAAAAACAAATGGTCTAAGAGATAAGAAACCTAAGTATATGCATACGATGTTTAGTGAGCTCAAAGAGGATTTAATTAAAAAGATAAAGAATTTTACCAACAAGTTCGACAAGCTTAAAGAAGGAACAAACAATAAACTAACTGAGTTAAGCAATAAAATATAGCACATGGATGACTGCTTTGAAAAAGAATTAAAAAGTATGGGAGAAGCCGGGCATGGTGGCATACGCCTGTAATCCCAGCACTCGGGAGGCTGAGGCAGGAGTATCGATCCCAGTTTGAGGCCAGCCTGGGCTACAAAGTGAGCTCAAGGCCAGCCTCAACTGCGTAGTGAGACCCTGTCTCAAAAAGACCAAAAAAAAAAAAAAAAAAAAAAGGTATAGGAAGAAAGCAGCATAGATGGGTGATATGAAAAAGCCCCTGGAAAGCACAGGTAGCAGACCAGACCAGTGTGTGTGGACAGTGAGGAACAGAAGGCAAAGTGGTTGTAGTACATCACAAACTCAGGGACATCCTAAAACGACAAGACACCATGCAAGTTGGATCCAACAGCTGCTAGATTATCAAAAAAACAAAACTAAACTAAACTAAAAAATACAGGAATAAAGGAAAAATTAAGATGATGACTCCAGGGTATAACAGATGTATGCACTGAAATCATTGACCACGAAAGAACCTCTTCATGACACATCATAAAGTTCCAGAAATTTAACAAAAGGAGAGAATACTAAAGGCTGTTAGAGAAAAACAGCAAGTAACCTAAAAAAGCAAGCACAGGGCCAGGGGTGTAGCTCAGCCTGCCTGGCAAGTGCGAGGCCCTGAGTTCAATCCCTGGTACCAAACAAAAAAAAAAAAAGGCAAGCACATCAGAATAACTGCACATTTCTCAGCACAGACCTCAAAGGCCGGCAGAGTTTGGAGCAAAGTTTTTCAAACCCTTAAAGAAAAAAATTGTCAACGCCAGCTTTTTTTTTTTAACGCCAACTTTTATATCCTGCAAAATTAGCCTTTAGAATTGATGGGAAAGTAAAGACTTTACATGACCAGTAAATCAGCATTGCAGAACATACTTAAGGGAACCTTAGATGGATAGAGAGCCTATCTGCACCAAAGAACCCAAAGAAAAGCATACATCTAGCTGGGAGAGTAGTTCAGCAAAAGGGAAAAAACAGAATTAGCACCAGAAAAAGAATGCAATGACATGATTCAATAAACACCTCAGAATAATAACGGGCCCAATGTCAGTGGTCTCTCAGCTCCCCAGTCAAAAGACAAAGTGACAGATTCAATTTTTAAAAATATAGTCACAAATATTACCTGCAGGAGACATACCTCATGCAAAAGGAAATATACAGATTGAATGTTAAAGAATGGAAAATGAAGCCAGGCGTGGTGGTGCACGCCTGTAATCCCAGGACTCAGGGAGGCTGAGGCAGGAAGATCACTGCCAGTTCCAGACCAGCCTGGGCTACACAGTGAGTTCAAGGCCAACCTGAACTGCATAGTGAAACCCTGTCTCAAAAAGACAAGAAAGAATGGAAAATGACACTTCACTCACCCAAAGCCCCCAAACAAGCAGGAGTAGCTATCTTATTTCCAGACACAGCCGACTTCAAGCCAGAACTGATCAGAAGGGACACAGATGGCCGCTACATACCGGTGTAGGAAGAGATAACAGTTGTGAAATCTGTGCACTGAATTTCACAGCACAATGTTACTGGACCTAAAAGGACAGTTAGCAGTACAGTCGTGGGGGTGGAGGGCGTCAGTACCCCACTCACAATTAGGTCACCCAGACAGAGAAACGGCATTAAAGCACACCACTGAGCAGATGGGCTTACCGTACCCAGCATTTCATCCAACAACAGAATATGCATTTTTCTCAACAGCACACAGAACTTTTTCCAAAATGTATCTTAAGCCATAAAGCATGCTTAAATAAATACAAAAGAATTGAAATAATTCCCTGAATACTATCAGGTCATAATGAAACGAAGTTAGAAACCACAGCAAAAGAAGCCACAGAAACTGCACAAACACATGGTGATTAAGTAATACATGGCTGAATAGTCAGTATATGGGGGAAGAAATAAAAATTTGCTAGAATCAAATGACAGTGGAAGCACAACATACCAAACCGATGGAACACGATGAAAGCCGTCCTAAGAGGGCAGGTTACAGCTGTAAATGCTCACACAAAGAGAAGTGGTCTCGGTAACCGTACATCGCGAGGTCAGAGACAAGAACAACCCAAATCTAAAACTAATAGGAAAGAAATTATAAAGATCAGAGCAGAATTAATTAAATTGAGACTAATAAAATACAAAGCATCAGTGTATCAAAAAGTTGGTTCATCGAAAGGATAGGAAAGGGACTTAGGGGTGAGGGAGGACCAGAAGGGAGAGGAAAGGAAAGGGAAACGGACCAAGATGCGATGTGTTAAAGAGAAAGTACGTATCAGCCTTTTCTTCTTAGGCACCTTCTATTACGTGGGCAGCAGAAGTTCTTAGTGAAGTATTTAGTCCTGCAGTTTTTTTTCTTGTTTAATTTTTCTGCATTGCTTAAAAGACAGCATGCTGCGCATAAAGTGTTCTTATTAACTAACTAGTAATTTGTGTTCTGTTTAACTCTTAAAACTTCTCCGTGTGGCCTTGAGCACATTCTTAAATCATTACTCAATTTGTAAGCATTCATTTGAACTGTAGCTATCCTGTACTCCTTTTCAAGTTATCTGGGTAAAAGAAAGATAAAACTTACATTTTTATCATTTTGGGTTCTTGCAACATTCCACAAATGCTGGGGATGTAGCTCGGTGGTAGAGCACTTGCCTAGCATGTACAAGGCCCTGGGTCCAGTACCCGGCTCCCCTCAAAAAAACGTTCCTCTTTCGACCATTTGA